TTTCTTTGTAGAGGCATATGTTCAGCAGTGGACTTGTGAAGGGCTATAATAAACATATTTTTTTAGTTATTAATAAATATCATTAAAAAAAATTAACGTTTACTGTGTAAAGACTAGTGTTTTTTTTCCTGGTTTTAAATGAAAAAAATTGCATTTGCATGGTCTAAGATGTATATAGAGTCAATATTATATAAAAAATTGTAAATAAAATTATTTTAAAGAGGTTGTGACGCTGACATAAAAACGATAACATTATGCTGAAATTAATGTTTGTCATAAATTCATAATTAAACAAAACCTAATAATCCCACTTGAAACCCCATACCAGGTACACTGTCACCGGCTACCGCTAGTCCAATCAACCCTGATTAAATTGTCCTAACAGCCTCGTTAATTAAAGCCGGTTATTAATTAGCCAAAATTAATTAATGCAAATGTATCATCGTACATGTTATGTCAGCTATTGTTATCATTAGTGGAAAACGGATAAACCAATAGCGCATTTTCTTTATTATTTATGTAGGAGCGGCTGCTTACGACCACGATGACATCTCCAGTTAAGAATAAAACTTTCGGTCATAAAAGAAGGTAATGTAGGTGCGTTGCGACCTTTAAAATATGAGTATGTTCTTTGCTTGAAAGCTCAATTTTATATTTATATCTGAGCATCAAATACTACAAAGCACAAAGGCACGCATCTCCATTTTCCTGCATTCGAATTAGAAAGAGACCTAAAAGACGAGGAAAAATCCCAATAATCGATTAATGGATTTTAGAAAAATAAAAAAGTACTGGACGTGGATTGCATATATTTTATATAATCTTTATAAATAATAATAGTTATGGTTAATTCTTAAATAAAACATATATCATGGCAATCATGAAAAAAAAATTGTTAGTGTGATTACGAGCAAACAGCTCATCTGAAAATAAATAGATACCGCGGTCCATGGACACCTGCTTCTGCTTCAAACAAAGGAGACCTCGAATGAGTTGTAATCAATGAGGACTAAGGTAAAAGCTCCAACAGTCTGTTAATATACTGGCACGGCAAGAACACAGTAGTGGGGGCATTTCTTCTTAAATGCAGACGTAATAGAGCCACGCTGCAACTATACGACTACCCTCTAACAGATTAGCAGCGTAATATAGCCGCATGTGGAAGAAAAACGTGAGATCTCCCGCCGGCAAGATGTTCTGCCCGGGGAGAGGCCAACACTCCGAGTGGTAAATCCGAGCTATTCTATATATACTGGTACTTCGCAACTTTGATAGCGCGATTTAGGCACCGATGTATTTTCGCTTGTGGCACTAAGACAGCGGCGCCACACGAATATGTTTCTTATGGTGAGTGTAAAGACCCGAAGACCCTTTTAACTCGTTATTGAGTGCTCATTCTTCTTGGTTTTTAGGGGTGACAACTCAAGTGCAATTTAATCGTTAAGCGATAATAGGTGTAGGGAATTATTGGATATAAGAATATTTACACTTACTATCAAATGCATTTTGTGTTCTTTTGTGAACCTTACTTATTAATTATATCCAAAAGTAAAATTCAATCACATTTTTAATTTAATATGTTCATTTCCTTGTACGAAACGAGCAAAGCAAATTATGCGAGATTTATGGAATTTATGAAGGACACATATCCACCACAAAATTGCAGACAATATTTTTTATAAACAAAATCTTGTATTTTTTCCTTTGTCACACGATGATAGGCGTTACTGAACAATCAAAGAAAAACGAAAGACATGTAAAAATCATTAACCATTGCACAAAGAACATCTGGCGTACATAAAAGCTTCCGAGGCGAACGTTAATTCATTCTATAAACAACCATTATGTACAAGATAAGCAATAAAATGTTGTCCCTTAATTGTGCTCGGTAATTATAAGACACAAGAAGCAGTGTATATAATTAAAACGAATGAAGCATTGCTCGCTACTCTCTAGCCTAGTGATGTAGCTCTAATGAGCCACTTGCTAATTAGAGAATAAACAAGCCGGATACGGGATTCTAATTAGCTTTTGGGACAACCGTGTCGCGCTGCTGCAATAGTCGTACTTTTAAAACGAAAAAAAAAACTGACACTTTGAGGCAGAGATTACAAAGTTTCATAACTGATGATAATTATACTTATTATAACATTTATGCATAATGGAATTGTTAAGTGTTAATTTACCACATGCTAAGCGGTGAAGGAAAACATCGTGAGGAAACCTTCATGTTTGACTAATATAATATTTCGAGGAATTGTGGAGTCCGCCAACAGGGACCCTCTCATAAATGAGATAAGGCCTGTGTTATATTTTTACTTTATAACCTTTATAATGACATTATTATAATATAAAATAACACTAATACAATCTGAAGTTCGTAAATGGACAATTTAACTTTAATGTTGTAACTATCAAAATGGCCAAATTCCACATTATGCTCACGTTCTTGTGTTGTTTTATTCTTTTAATTAACTATTGTCTTTATTTTTCTATTCAATGACACAGTAGCTATAATTACTTTTCATTTAATTAATGTTAATTTACCGCCTCTGCTTTCAACTTGATTATTTACGACTAGCAGCTGCTTTTGATATTTTTCTTTTTATTCTTTATTTAGGTATAGTTTTTCTTTTCAAATAGCATATAGTTCGTTTGTTGTCAACTGATCGTATATTGCTGGTCGCATATTGTCAGAATGTAACACTATAAAAATGCTTCTCTCATCATCATTCTGCGGAGTATGGAGTTTTTACATAGATCAATAGGATGTTAGGAAAAATATATAAATATTTTCCTTGAAACGTCAAAATCATCTGTAGGCTCTGAACACCAGACTTTCGTCAGTCAGCTGGGAGTTCGTTACTGATGACTGAAAACCCACCCAAAAGTAGCAATATATTATCAATTATGATTGTCAATAAATTTATTAGTTGACTAGCTGTCCCCTGCGACTTCGTGCGCGTTCAATTTATTACTTTATGGTTTTGTTATTTTTGCGCGGAATTCAAATTCTTTTTCTAAAATTAAACTAGCCTGAGTTACTCCTTATAACATCAGTGATTTGCCAATTAAAGTACTGTCAAAATCGGTCCAGCCGTTCCTGAGATTAGCCGGAACAAACAGACAGACAGACAGACAAAAATTTCAACAATTGTGTTTTTGTTATTAGTACCGTGTATACTTTTATATCCATTTAGTAAAAAGCCATTATTTTGAAACTCCATTCGATAACGTCCATTTGACACTATTTATTTGTATAGATGTATAGATATAGATTATTTTAACTTTTATGCACGTACATTAAACTCTATCGTATGATAGAGTTTGACAACGTAGATTATTAGTTAACAAAATGATTTTTCCGTGACAAAACTTGCATTCTCTTAAATTACAGTTTAGGTGACGAAAATAATTTATTTTTAAAGTATGCAACTATCACTATAACATTTCAAACATAATTTTTATTTATTTATTTCTTTATGCGTTTTTATTTGTTTACGCGTTTTCATTTATAAAATATACATTTTCGTTTATAGATATAGCTACTTTTCTTATCATTTTATTACATTTATGTATTGTATAATGAGATAAAATCGAAGTCAAATTATATTAATTATATCACCAGTATCTATGTGTTATATTATACCGGAAATGTTATCTATAACTACGAGTATTCTTGACAGACTTATGAATCACGACTTATCTTGACACCTACGCCCTACGCTTCATAATTTAAAAATTTCACTTACATTTTTAACCAATTTAAATGTTAGTAAATATATTATCTAACATAAAAGTATAGTACATATGTATTATATCAATATTATGAGATATGAAGTTATTTTGTATCAAAAAAATGAAATATGGGTAATAAAAGTTCAACTTGTTTTCAAAATACCTGTCAGAATATTTTTCGTTATATTATTTCTGACTAGCAATATATTACGTTTTAGTCGATTTAAAATTCAAATATAGTAGCTTAAAAATATCGTATACAAATTGATATTTGTTAAGCATATAATACGGTTAACTTCAAATGATTAAACAATACTGAAAAACCAAAAAATATTTACTTAATCGACATAATATATAATAATACAAACTTACAACAAGTTCTTAGACATGCAATCATTTATTGGTAATTTAAGTGAGTTCATCGCTCTCAAAGGGATTTTTTTTTAAATCCCTGCGCGGCGTGGATGTATAATGGTTTTTATTTTATTGTAGAAAACGCTATTAATGATCTTATGATATTTATGTAATCGTACTTCATCGTCATTATGGAGTTTCTTAAAAATTATGCTACTTTTAAACTAAGTTTTAAATCTGTTACTTATATCCTTTTTGCTTATCCTTAATATTTTTAACAAGTAACAAATAAATTTGAAAAAAGTGTCCTTTGATAATAAAACTACTTTTCTTGAGTAATCATTAGGAGTTTTGTAATATGCTAAAACAACACGAAAGCTGTTCACTCCATTTTTAGACATTTTCAATTCAATAATATAATGTCACTGCACAGTCCACTTATATATACTATATAATATAATAAATATACTGATCCAAAGACAGATCTGAGTAAACGGAACAAACAATATTATATCAAATAAAATTTTCATTACCTCCTCATTGCATTTTCTTTTGATTACACTAATACGAATATTATTCTTATAACAATATGATCTTATATTTTTTTATAATATATTAAATGAAGCAAAAATTGACACGTATAAATTATAGATTCAATCCAGCTTAATTAATATGAGTAAAATAGAAAAAAAGATATTTAAATACCGTTTAAAGCTACTTTGTCGAAAATAAATTCGGTACCAGTAACAGTTTAGACAGTGTCACAATAAAGACGTAAAATATTTTTTTTAAATCCAATATCTGATACACACTAGAGATCATTACGCGGGCTGCTTCAAAGCTGTCGCCGCATTACGCTAATTGATGCAATTAGAGAGATTGCCGAACGGAAATAAAAGTCGGCTCACCTTCATGAAACGCCGGCCCCACCAATTAGTCTAGCAGCTCGTAATTAGCCCCCGTAGCACTCCTGCAGATGAAAAGTCTCTTCGCACTCAGTTACGGTCACAGCACAAAAAGATCGTGTTCATTTTTTTAATGCTGAAACGACAGTTCGTCACACCACCGAAAAGTTTTTTGCGCGATCGTACGCGAATGTATGGAAGCTGAATAGACGTGTGTCCGTCACGAGCTACGTTAAGCGAATGAGCGGGAGGTCGCAACACTAGGCGGGGAGTGTTATCCTTCCTTTTCTCGTACCAAAGCTTAGCCATTGCAGAGCTTTTCCTTCGCAGGCTGTGCGCGAGTTATAACGTTACGGAACCGAAGCGACGCTTAACGCCGTAAGTGGGCAGATTGTGCGGTATTGCATTTAGGCCTAAATAAAAACGATACTGAATCAAATTACGATCGGATGATTGCATTTCTGCTACTACTTTTTTGTGATTTATATGCAAATTGTGTTAGTAGCCGTTACTTCGATGAAACGTGCGATCATAATAAGTGCATAAACATACGTAAAGCTAATATTCAGAAAGGTGTTATTAAGAATTTATTTATACGTTTTTTTTTTTCGATAACTGGCCACATAAATCATAAATACAGTTCAGTGCATAATATTACAAGTAAAATAATATTTCATTTTAAATAGTAGTACTTATTCGTTAAATGGTATATTATTTCATTTGCCAGAATTTTCTTCGATTAATGAAAATATTTTTACGTGGTAGAGCCATGCTGCAGCTATGTTATGGTTGTAGCACGAATGGGTCGGCTCGACCTGGGAAAGACCACGCTCTCACAGAATACCAGCGTAAAATAGCAGCTTAACGCTAAACAGCAGTTTCGTATGGTGATTGTAGAGAACCGGAGACCATTTTTACTGGACACGGGGCATTCCAATTTAGTCCTCACGGGTGATAACGCATCTGCATTTTGATTCGTAATCGAAAATAGATGTAGGTGTCTATGGGCCGCTGCAACCACTTACCATCAGGTGGACTGTGTACTCGTTTGTCACCCTTATCCTATAAAAAAAATTACTAATACTTTTTAATATTCCAAAATTAGAAAGCGAAGTGTAGGTGAATGTGATATAAAAATAGATACACGTATAGATATAGATTATTTTTACTTTTATGCACGTACATTATACTCTATCGTATGATAGAGTTTGACAACGTAAATTATTAGTTAACAAAATGATTTTCCCGTGACAAAACTTGCATTCTCTTAAATTACAGTTTAGGTGACGAAAATAATTTATTTTTAAAGTATGCAACTATCACTATAACATTTCAAACATAATTTTTATTTATTTATTTCTTTATGCGTTTATATGTCTATAGCAAAACCATAACCGCAAAATATTCCCATGTATTACAGAAGTGCTTTTCGCTATCGCATGAGTTGCATCCCATTCATCATTGATAAAACTAGTTGGTGACACCTCGTTCGTTGCGTGGCAGGCCTGCCGCCGTCGCAACACGGAGGGTCATCCCTGCTGCACTTATACCCCATTGTTAAGGCTATTTAAGCGTCACATTCAAACTTGCTTTTTATTGAACACGGTAAGGTTAATCTATAGCTATAAATTTTTCGTTTAAAGTCTCTGCGTGTAGATGCATTATATTTTTATTTTACTGTCAAGTTCTAAACTCAAACTAAAAAAAAGTATACCTATTATTGCTAATTTCATTTAGTGAATGATATGTGATATATTTATGTATTCCTCTGCTTCAAAATATAGAATAAAACAAGAATAACATATTTGGAGAATATGAATACATCGCAAAATATATTTTATGGTCAAAAAAATGAAACTCTACACCGCTCATACTCACATTATTGTGATAAAACAAAATCATAAATAAATACTTTGTTAAAACTAGGCACGGTCTACCTAATTCATATTTGTAAGCATAAATCTTCTTAACAAATTGATTATAGAGTATATTAGACAGTGGCCAATATTGTAGACCGATTTAGAGCGTTACAAATAAGTTTGACATAAATATATGACTTATAAAATATTACTACACAAATAAGGTCAAAATAAGACGTGATACTGCACAAGTAACAGGGTAGTTATGCATTGACTACACCACGCAAATAATTACTTCTTTTTAACAGCCGTGAGACATGCACAAATCCACGGGACCCAATTATACCTTTAATTATATAATAACTGTATAATATAAACGTACGAAAATTGCAAAAAGGGTTCCGAATAGATTCAACAAACAAATAAACAAAATTACAGTGTTTATCTGTGTGTATTATAATATTGGCCAAATCTGTAGTTTTTTTTTATAATAGCATAATGTTGATAAGCGAGCACACAGTCCACGTGATGGTAAGTGGAAGCAGTGGCCTATAGATTTCTTACATCTATCTTCGATTAATAATCAAAATGTAGATGAGTTATCACCCGTGAGGACTAAGATGGAATGCCTCTTTTCCAGTAAAAAAGGTCTCTGGTTCTCTACACTCACCATACAAAACACAACAACATTAAGATGCTATTTTATGCTGGCATTCTGTGAGAGCGTGGTCCTTTTCCGGTTGAACCTACCCATTCGTGTTACATCCACAATATAACTGTAGCATGGCTCTACCACGTAAAAGATATCATTGAGACAAAAACAATTAATGACACCTCATAGAATTATGGTATCATAAAAATTGCAATACCCCTGTCGAAACTGGTAAATACGTTATAAAGATACTTTCTTATTATAATAAAACAACACAACTGATAATCTATTAAAAAAAATACTTTTAATTAAAAGTAAAAGCCGCCTTAAAAAACTGAACAGAATTAAATATTGGTTTTTACGAAATTCTTTGTGTGTGTTTGAATAGGTCCCTAAATGGTTTAGATTCACAATTGGACCCGGTAGGTAGCACTGTTGTCGAGATCCAGAAATCACCCGTGCCAAGCCGGGACGGTCGTCGATATTTTAATAAAAAAAAGAATCATCTAAATCTGTTAACAACCATAGTCATTTGGTATCACCTTTTTTTTTTGAATTCGGCTTAAGAGATCAATCCAACAATAAATCAAGCAACCTTAATAAAGCCTAAAACTTGAAAAGATTACGCATTCGCCCATATGATAATAATTGACGATTAATAATCATTTACTCATAAAAAAATTACTTTTAATAAAAAGTACATACAAACCGACTTCAAAGTAATAAAATGCATGAAATTTTATATTTTGAAGTCGGTGTATTTTTTAGACTTTTATTTAAATTTTTTTGGCTTTTACTTTTCGTTAATAATTATTTATTACCTTTTTAAGTGGACTAAGGAATTTTACAATCTCAATTTCGTATAAATAGAGCCGTAGTAACTCAGGGGCTAAGCGTTCACTGTAAATTTCACAGTACGCGATCAACCCGGGCTCGATCCCCGCCGGCACCAATGAAATTGTTAATTGCAATTTTTAGTGCTGATTTACCACGACCTCGACGGGAAAGGGAAACATCGTGAGGTAACCAGCATGTCTGAGAAATAAGAATAAATTATAATATTTCGAAGACATGTGAAGTTGGGCAACACGCATTGCGGCAGCGCGGTGGACACTTCCTTGCCCTAAAACCCTCTCAGAAAGAGAGGACGCCCGTGCCCAGTATATAACTTTAACTTTATAAGGATCTTTACAATTTCAATTTCGAAAATCAAAATTTTCGTCCCCTGTTTTACCGAATGGTATTTTCCTCAAATTATATATGAGAAGTACAACGTATTTAATAAAAAAAAGAATCATCAAAACAGGTTCACAATTGATGAAGAAATCGTATAACATACGTACAAAAAACATATGGTACAGTCGAATTGTAAACCTCTTTTTGGCTAAAAAGCAGGGAAAGTAGTGTAAAGTTCTTTCTTTAAATTCTCTAATAATATTTATAAAAATTGTTTTTGATACCAGTTCTAAGTCTGCATTATGGTTATTTTTTTCTTTCTTACTTAACAGGATCTCCTGCATTCAGTCAATTAAGACGCCGTTAAAGGGGTGCCGTAAAATTTGATTTATTGCGTTCGACTTTAATATATTCAATTGAAACGAATTTTGAGTGTGCATACTACAGTGTAACCATGAAATAAATACAATGAAATTTGCATTACAATTTACGAACCTCAGTACAGGAATAACATCACAGGTACGGGCAGAGCCACCAGTGATAAACGATGATGAATGTGATGGTCATCATCATCATTTCTTCACTGAATTCATAGTAATTATATTAACACGCACATTACGAGTACCTACTATTTACAATTGACTGTAATATAACGAAAGATAATTAAAATGAAAAACACTTCCGCTTGATACTCACTTTGTTCATCTGTTTATATTCCGAAGATCTAACTTCTACAGATCTCGATAAGAAAAATGTTGATTTATTATACGTAATTCAAAAGGAGTTAATTGCAAGACAAACTTTTTTTAAACGCTTTAATTACTATTTATTTATAGGTTGCCGTACCCAAAGAGACAACGCGACAAATCCTCTGCTGTCCGTCCGTCTGTTCGTCAGCGGGCTGTATTCCATGATCCGTAAAGGTAGACTGTTGAAATTTTTACAAAATGTGTATTTCTGTTGCCGCTATAACGACAAACAAGAAAATAAAAATAAATTTAAAATTAAAAGGGGCTCCCATACTAGAAACGTGTTTTACGATGGTACGGAACCCTTTATGCTTGTCCGACTCGCACTTGGCCAAATTATCTATTTTAAACGATTTTTTCTGGTTCAAAATGGATATAAAACAAACTCGAGCTTATTAATAGTTATTCTCGTTTAACTGTTTATTTATTTAGAGACTCTACATTTTGCTCAATATGCTGGCAAAACAGTAATTTAAAAAAGAACCAGACGAACAAGTAGGCAACGCCGCATTTGATTTGTCATTAGGTAGAATAGAATGGTTCAATTTAAGGGCGCATGACATGAATACGCTAAAATTCCTAAATAAATCGAAGGGAACGCCTTGCGTTTCTGTATCAATTTGTGATCCATTCAACACAGAGCTTACCGAATGTGGTATCAATGAGTTGCATGACGATATCGACATTACAATTACAATTACAAAAGTTGCCATCTTTTTTATAAAACATGTACTAAACTAGAATATATTAGTAATTTATAATTAATAGTAAATTTATTATAATTGGCATATATACTGTTTTGTTGG